ATGAAGTAAAACTATATTCAATACTTAATATGACTGAGCAGCATAGCTGAATTTCTTCACCATGTTAACCTACAGCTGACAAGCCAATGATCACAAGTCCTACCATGCTCACACTATCTTTGTGGGGAAATCGCTGGTATTCAGTCTGCATGTATTTACTTTTTGCTCACTGCAGGACCTCATTCCAAAGCAAAGGTCAGTCTTGAAAGGTGACTTCCTTCTCCCATTCTACTTTCACACCAATCATTTTTGTGCCATTGAGTGTGGCCAAACATTCTAGACTTTGTGCACTGAATGTTGAACCATCAGGCACTGCAGAATCTGATATGCTATGATCTAGTGTCAGCTGACGAAAACGCATTGTATTTGCATCTGAAAGTGAGAAGTCTTTCATTCCATGATGCTAGGCTTTGACCCCAGCCCATTAACAGCCACAAGTGGGGTGTTGCTGCAGCACCCAGTTATCACAAGTCTTACACCATCAGAGTAAAATCTCAGTTCACAAAAATACTTACCCAACGTGTGTCCACAACTACGACAGCGTTCACACAGACTGGCAGCTGGTTGTTGAATATCCATTCTTGGAGCTGTAGGAGGGTTTGGATTTTTCCAACCATTGCATTTACAGGTATCATTAGCCTAGGGAAAAATTTAAAAATTAATATGTAAAACAATAGCTGCACTAAATGATGAAGATCAACTCAGCACAGGTTCTCTTAAACCTCAATACATTTTGACATGGAGGGATCTGGGCAGTGCCAGGGATTGAGAAGAAGTAGGTTTATTTAATTTATTAATTCTTCACTCGTTTGTTTCTTGGTAACCCCATAATTCCATTGTAAAGACTGGTCCTGGTTTGGAACAATTAAATAATAAAGTGCAAAATGATGCATTTCAAAACTGAGAATGAGGAAAGGCCATATAAAGTGCACAATTCTAAAGTGGGTATACAGAGACATTCGGGGTATAAGTGCCCAAATTAGTAAAAGTGGCACAGCATGTTGAAAGTATTTGAAAAGGCATAGAGTCCCGAGTAGCATAAACAGATGCATAGAGCAGAAAAGCAAGGAACTTATGATGAGCCTGAATAAAACACCAACTCATTCTCAACAAGAGTACTGTGTCCATTTCTGGGCACCCCACTTATATACAGGCTTCAGCAAGGGTACAGAAAAGGTTTACCAGAATTGTTCGAGGGATGGAAGACTTCAGATATGTGGATCAACTGGAAAAGCTGGGGTTGCTTTCCTTATGTGAAGGTTGAGAGTAATTTGATAGTTCAAAATCCAAGGTATAGAGTGTGTCAAAATTGAGAAAATGTTCCCATGGGTAGAAGAGTCATAAAAGAGACAGCACCTATTTAAGGTGACTGACAAAAGCAACAACAATACTGAGGAAAATATCTTTTTAATGCAGTGAGTGGTGAGGACCTGAAATATGGTGCCTGAGCTTGCAGTGGAAGGAGGTTCAACTGCAGATTTCGAGACAGGTTTGGAGATACACTTGAAAAGAAACACAAAAGTGTGAAGTTATGAAGAAAGGGCTAAATAGCCTCTTTTTGTGCTGTAATTATTCTATAATCCAATGGACGAGAGGAAAATTATGAATAAAATACTGCAGTCATTGTTTCCTTAGAAACTGCACCCATAACAAGTGGCGACCATAACTAAGTTATAGGCGGGCACAGTGGTTCAGTGGTTAGCACTGCTGCCTCACAGCACCAGGGACCCAGGTTCATTTCCAGCCTCGGGCGATTGTCTGTGTGAAGTTTGCACATTCTCCCTGTGTTTACGTGGGTTTCTTCTGCGTGCTCCAGTTTCCTCTCTCAGTCCAAAGATGTGCAGGTTAGGTGAATTGGCCATGCTAAATTTCCCATAGAGTCTAGGGATATGTAGGTTAGGTGTACTAGCCATGGTAAATGCAGGGTTGGAGGGGCAAGTCTGGGTGGGATGCTCTTCAGAAAGTCAATGTGAACTTGTTGGGCCAAATTGCCTGTTTCCATGCTGTAGGGATTCTATGAAGTTCAATTGATTATGCACACGTGTTCACATGTTGCACTTCTCTATAATTATAGAAAGTCAGAAGTAGCACAGATTCTGATGCGAATTGTTACAAAAAGCAAATAAACCAATTGAAAGTTTCTCAGTAGCCAACAAACTGAGAAGTTGCAGTTCAAATAAGCACCATAGTCTTTAGTTTCAATCAGGGAACTCATTTAGAGGGGCTTCCCTTTAATTTCAAAGCCAACTGCTCAACAACATCTCATAATACTAGAAATGGTTTCTTAATACTATTCATACATTATTAGTAACTACTATGAACATATTTCAAAGGCACAATTCTTCTCAGAATTTAAGATTATAATTTTGAGAGTAAAGCTCTTGCAATGTCTAATGTTTCACAGAGCTGAATTTCTCTATGCCTTCGTATATACACAGCTATTTCCTCTAGATTTGGGTTCAGATGACTGATGCGATAAAAACACACTACTAACTATTTAAGTACAGATGGGAAGAGTATCATCTTTGCACTTGGAGCTACTTGATCAAACCATATATATTGTACACAATAAATGTTTGTTGGAGAACTTAAAGTATAAAAGTACTATTTTTGTGTAGGTTTACTCAGCAGATGGATTTCAGCAGTAGCTGTTAATAAGCGTGTTGTGACCAAATGTATATAGCATGATAAATATCTTGGATGCATTGTGATTAAATAGTTCACAAAGACAATAAGGAGTCCAGCAGGCATATTCATCACATCACGGCTGACCAGGGTAAATCCATTCTGCACACGTAGTTTTTTTTCAAAAAGCAAGTAAAGGGCAGTGATTTTGTGTTTTTTTTCCAACAGAAATATAGTTAAAACAAATGTGTCGCATATCAGGGCTTCAGGGTACAACTATTTCCAGAAAGAAAACAAAATGCAGATGTTGGAAATCAGAAACAAAAACAGAAATTGCTGGAAAAATTCAGCAGGTCTGGTAGCATCAAGTCCAGTTCTGAAGAAGGGTCACTGCGTCTCTCAACTGCCCTACTAATTTGGATCAATGTCAATCCTTCGAACTTGTCAAATCACAAGTTCATAGAGACTTGCTTGTTTTTAAATTTTGGTTCATGATCATTTCCGTTGTCTTCAAACAGAAAATCCAATATGATCTCCCAAGCCTTTCTTCAATACATTAGGGCATTTTACCATCTCCAATACTTTTTTCTGTTCCAGGTCTCTCTCTGATTACTCCTACTCCATTCCTCACTCTGCCGGAGGAATCTCTCTAGCTGATCAGCTCTGCTCCTTTCTCAAGCCAATTGGGGTGCTCACATTCTGGTTCACCTTTAGGATATTCTTAGACTGCTCTTATAAAATTCTGCTAGACACTTCCATTTCCATTATTCTTCCACTGAGTTTTTCAGTGGCCCTGATTCACTCAAGAGGACAGTAACATAGTGGCAAGGTACCAGGATTCCTGGTACCAGGAATCCAGAAACTTGGACCAATGCTGCGGAGATACAATTTCAAATGCCACCATAGCAACTGGGGAAATTTAACATCTCATTAATAATGCTTATGAAGCTGCTCTCTAGCTCACTCTGGGCTTTCCTTACCCATTTTGTTCACATTTAACTCCAGATCCACAGTAATGTAAAAGGTCACAAACATGAAGTGGTACCTGTTTTTCTCTCCACAGATGCTGGCTGACCTGCTGGGATTCACAGCACTTTCTGTTTTTAACTCCTCTCTGCTTACTTATGCAACGCTAAAGTTGACAGCATTTGACCCTCAGTCATTTTTCAAAATTCACATGGATCCATCACCACCAAGCTCCTTGGTTTTATCTAACATATGCCATTAGATGCACTCTGCTCTTCCAATTCTCACTGTATTCTTGTCCCAAACTATTTAAGGAACTGCATTACATTAGTTTTCTTACTGCAGAGTCTCAAAGTCTCAACTGCCCTTTATATCCCTACCTCACTTTTTGCAAATTCCTCCTCCCATTACTGAACTCTCAAGGCGGACACTTGGACCATTTAACTAAAAAGTCTGAATTATGAGTTTAGAAGAGTGTGATTTGATTGCTTCATAAGTGTTATTTATTAAAAGTTACTAATTGAAAGGTACAGTATTTCTAAGGTGCTTTGTCTATTCAAGGGGCGTTGCAGTCACTGAAAGGCCATATCACTACTTTAACATGAACTTGCATTCCTGCCAATTTTCTGACAGCAGCCCCACAGATTATCCACGACTCTCAGTTTGGGTTGTCCTAGACAATGTGTATGCAGAGTTATTGCTGGCGAGGCAGAAGGGGCATGCAGGAAAAATGAGGTGCTTTTCATTCTGCACATTTCAATTCTAGAACAGATCGTGTGTTGCCCAGTTTGGCGCTGAGAGAAAAATAAATGACCCGGTCTCACCCTGAGAGAGTCAGGCGGGGATTGTGACCCTGATCGGGCAGCCCCCGGTCACTTCCCTCAGTCGCTCTGCCCTTACCTTGCAGGCTGAGAAGACGCCGAGTTTCTCCAGCTTCTTGGCCCGGGGGAAAGCGCGAACCTGGGCCTTGCGCTGAACCGAGCGCTGCTGATTGCTGCTGGCGCCGGGACGGGCCGGATCGGCCGGGCTCGGAGTGGCGGGAGAGGGCGAGGCCGCAGCCTGGAGCTGGGCCTGGCACGGGGACGGATAGGGCGCCTGAGCCCGGGCCTGCGACGCTTGGGATGCCTCCGCCATCACCTACGAGTATGCCCCGCCACCCCGCCCCGCCCTCTCTTCACCCGCTGCCATGGCAACCAGCCAGGCCGGTACTGCGCAGGCGTGACACTGGATGCACCCTGGGAACTGTAGTCCACGCCCTCACAAAAATTACCATAAAAATAAAATTAGTCGAACATATATCAAATCAAAATATATAGGGGAAGGTCTTCATAAGGGGATCTGTGTGAAAAATAATAACTTTTCATGTAAACCCAGACGCGGCATCATGGGAGTTGTAGTTTTTGCTGCCGCGTTGTTACGTAAACGCATGCGCACTGTTATCATTTAGAGCAGATACTGTTCAAGTTTCAATGAGAGCGGGAGGTGTTTAGATTGAAAATCATGAGGGCTAAGGTGAGTGGGGGTGTGTAGGTTAGTAAAAATCGATCAAATATCTTAATTCACAAGAAGTTAAAAGCGAGAGTAAGTGGTTATTGTTTTGTGTAGAAGGTGTTCTTTCCTTTTGTTCCCCCGTCGTGTTTGTGTTGGAGGCCGCGGCCATGCCGTTATGGGGTGGGGATAGGCCTTTGGCGCCACTGCCCTCACTTTTATATTCGGTGGATGAGGATGTAACTAAATCATCACATATTTGGGGGAAAAAGCGATATTTAAAGGATTAATGCCACGAAAGAAGACATTGATTCATGCCTTAATACCGATGCTGGCATCTTGAATTTAAGGGATAAACCAAATTTGGACTTCTGCAAACATTTCGCTCATTGAGTCTTCTGAGAGATCGTTGTTGATATGATAATCATTATTATCGTCATCATCATCATTAACTGCCTTTTCCCCATGGCCCTTGATTCCGTCACGGATTAGAAATCTGTCTCAGCCTTGAATATCTGTAATGACCTACCCTTCTGTAGTAAAGAATTCCACTGATGCACTGCCCTTTTGAGAGAAAAATATCCAACCAATCTTTGCCTTCAATGGGTGACCCCCTTACTCTGAGATTATATGATTATGGTCCTAGATTATCCCACAAGGTCAAACAACCATTCTACAGCTACCATGTCAAGTCTGATAAGAATCTTCTATGTTTCAATAAGATTTAACAAATGTTGTTGGGTATGATCATTCTCCTTTTACCTCCCTGTGTTCACTGGTGGGCGATGCTTGTGGTTGTAGAGATTATTCTACTGGTTGGCCCCCGTCCTGCTCAACACAGAAACACTAGATGTGAGACTTAAGGAATGAACTGCTGTCATTAACACATTCAGTTGAAATTGTGTGTAACTGCTGAAGCTGAAAATCAGTATAGAGAATGTTATTTAAGGTATGAGTTCTTTTAACTCATGTAGGAGTTTATGGTGTGATGTGATAAGAGAGGTTTAAGCATGGGGCCAATAGAAATGCTTTTTGATTATATATGGTTTCACATTGAGAGGCTGTAGATATCAATTTAAGTACAAAACGTTTAGAACAGAGAGCAACAGCCATTCTTTTGCCACAATACTGAGACAGAACCAAAGTTAGCAATTAAAAGAGAGAATATGCTAAAGTTTGAAATTAGGCGGATGTTGGAGGAGGGATGGGAAGAGAAGCAAGAAGGCTTCGGACTACTGATTGTGTAGAGAATAGCCAAAGCAAATTGTTAATATAAGGAGGAACACGGAGAACTAGCTATTTGGATCCAGAACTGGCTCAAAGGTAGAAGACAGAGTGGTGGTGGAGGGTTGCTTTTCAAAACTGGAGACAAATGACCAGCGGTTTCCACAAGGATTGGTGCTGGGTCCACTACTTTTTGTCATTTATATAAATGATTTGGCTGTGAACATAGGAGGTATGGTTAGTAAGTTTGCAGATGACACTAAAATTGGAGGTGTAGTGGACAGCAAAGAAGGTTACTTCATTACAATGTGATCTTGATCAGATGGGCCACTGGGCCGAGGAGTGGCAGATTTATTTTCGATAAATGTGAGGTTCTACGTTTTGGAAAGGCAAATTAGGGCAGGACTTGTACACACAATGGTAAGGTCCTGGGCAGTGTTGATTAACAAAGAGACCTTGGAGTGCAGGTTCATTGTTCCTTGAAAGTGGAGCCACAGGTAGATAGGATAGTGAAGAAGGCGTTTGGTATGCTTGCCTTTATTGGTCAGTGCATTGCATATTTGAGTTGGGAGGTCATGCTGCAGCTGTGCAGAACGTTGGTTTGGCCACTTTTGGAGTATTGCATGCAATTCTGGTCTCCATCCCATAGGAAGGACGTTGTGAAACCAGGAAGTGTTCAAAAGTGATTTACAAGGATGTTGCCAGGGTTGGAGGGTTTGAGCGATAGGGAGAGGCTGAAAAGGCTGGGACTATTTTCCCTGGAGTGTCAGGGGCTGAAGGGTGACCTATGGAGGTTTATAAAATCATGAGGGGCATGGATAGGGTAAATAGACAGGGTCTTTTCCCTGGTGTGGGGTGTCCAAAACTGGAGGGCATAGGTTTAAGGTGAGAAGGGAAAGATATAAAAAGGACTTAAGGCGCAATGTTTTTGTGCAGAGGGTGGTGCATGTATGGAATGAGCTGCCAGAGGAAGTGATGGAGGCTGGTACGATTATAACATTTAAAAGGCAGCTTGATGGGTGTATGAATAGGAAAGATTTAGAGGCAAATGGACCAAATGCTGACAAATGAGACTAGATTTATTTAGGTTATCTGGTCAGCATGGACAAGTTGGACCAAGGGGTCTGTTTCCGTGCTGTATATCTCTATGACACTAAGTGATTGCAAATCAAACTAGCTTGAATTTTATTGAGAGTAATGATTACTTAGGCAGTGGTGGTCAACTGGTGTGCTGTGAGAGATGATAAGTGTGCTGTGAAATTTTCAGGAAATTGTGCTGCTTCAGCCTATGCTTCTGATTTCCCCTGGAGCCTCTGTCTCTTACTGAAAGCAGTATCTGCTGACACTAGGCACCCTTATTCAACTGTGTTGCTTGTCTATAGACTTGTGGTACCCAGCATGCATGAGACCTCGGGGATTAGGTACGTAATTCGTTAAAAGTTGCGTCAAAGATAGACAGAGGTGGAAAGAAGGCATTTGGCACACTTGCCTTTATAACTCAGACCATTCAGTATAGGAGCTGGATTGTCATGTTGTGGTTGTACAGGATGTTGGTGAGGCCACTTTTGGAGAATTGTATACGGTTCTGGTCGCCCTGTTATAGAATGGATATTATTAATTGGAGAGGGTTCAGAAAGGAATTACCAGGATGTTTCCGGGACTGGAGGATTTGAGTTATAAGGAGAGGCTGGATAGGCTGGGACTTCTTTCACTGGAACGTAGGAGTTAAAACGTTGTAGAGGTTTATAAAAATCGTGAGGGTCATAGATAAGGTGAAAGGCAAAGATCTTTTCCCTAATGTAGCGGGTGTGGGTTCAAAACTGGAGGTAAGAGGAGGAAGATTTCAAGGGTCCTGAGGGGTGACTTTTTCACACAGAGGGTGGTGCGTATATGGAATGAACTGCCAGAGGAAGTGGTAGATGCAAGTACAGTTACAGTATTTAAAAGACATTTGGTACATGGATAGGAAAGGTTTAGAGGGATATGTCTGTATGATTCTGTTAGCACGGATTTTCAAGTGAATGTATTCAGATTTTTTTTTTAGTTATGCCATTGGTCTGAGTCTTAGATTCTAATAAGGAATGGATAAGTTTCTTGCCAAAAAAGGTGATTTCTCTGCTAATTCAATCATGAAATGTCTGAATTCAAAGAAACAAAGGCAAGAACTGTTCTGGCCTTTGGATTTTCATGGACAGGAGATGCCACTTGCCCTGTGGCTTAATTTCTCATCTGCAGAGAGAACTTGGCAAACACTGATGGTACCAAGTAAGTTAAGATGCCATTTACAGATGAAACATCCAACTGTTGTGAACAAACACATTCAGTATTTCAAAACTTGAGAACAAGACATTTGATGGAGTGTGTGCAGACATCGGATAAGGCTCAAGAAGCCAGTTACCCAGTGACTGAGCTATTAGCAAAACTAAAGCAACCCCATACCATTGCCAAAACAATAATTGTGACTGCATGTTAAAAAAAATCATAGATGTGATGTTAGGAGCTGATGCTGCAAAAGAAATCAACAAATTCCATTCTCTGATAACAGTTAAAACAACAAATTGGTGACATGTCGGTGATATTGAGGTGCTGCAAGAGAGATTAAGAACTAGTGCTGTAAATGACAACTAGGATAGAACTCTTGTCAATGGAGCAAGGTTTGTGGGTGACCCTTTCATCAGTTTCCCACCCCCATGGATGCAATTTATTCTGTTTTGTAGTTTGCTCTAATCGATTGTTCATGAATAGTTAGAAATAGTTGAGTTGAGCATATTTGGAAACTGCATGTGTGCTTACAGGCGACAACTTTTTTTAGCTGGTGGATTTGAAACATTAGTGTAGCTTTTGATCTTCCTTTAGCATGTCTACATACACTATAAAGCAAAACTCTCTGGTAAGGCTGTAAACATAGTAAATGCAAGAAAATATGACTTCTATTAGCAATCTATTCAGATGTAAAATGTGGGTGGGCTGTGGAATTGTTATTGTTAATTGAAATTTGCCTTTACACTGAAAAGGATGGGAACCACTGATCTAGACCTGTTGAATATTACTAAATTATAGTAATTTGCACACTTAAGTATTTAGCAAACAAATCAAACATGCAAGATCAAATGTACGTTTTAGATAAGGACAAAAATATTCTAATCTACTTTTTCTTTTTTTAAAATTTCCAGTGGAGGAAGAAAAGGATGCGTAGGTTGGTATACACTTTTTTTTTATATTTTCCAGCATCTTATTAAAATTTAATACATCACATTTCAGTTGGTGAATTGTGAATTGGCTGCCTATTTTATTTCAATCCCAAACCCATTCCTGACTAGTTAATGTATTGAGTATTGCTGACAAATACATATTTTTCTTTTTTGACTTGCGTCCAGATCATCAATTTCAAGGCTTATAACAGACCAAGATACCACCAAAGTTCCTGCTTAGCACATTTGCCCCCAAACTTCAAATCAAAATAACAAATTATACCTAAGTTTCAGTTTAACTATTTTATACTCTTGCCAATATTTGTTTTTAATAACTGCCTACAATGTGCATATGTGAATAAATTACACTTGGAATATTGGTGTTTCTTCCCTCAGTTTGGACAAAACTTTGCAGAATTTCAAGTATGACTTCGAACATAAATGTTTGCGGCTTTTGTACTTCTTTCAGATTGTGACGTAAAATGGCCACTACATAGTTAAAACTGAACAAGTCAAATACTTACTCTTTTCACTATAGAATATTAACTACTAGCATTATTCTGTTATAAACAAACTTGGAATGAAAACAACAATTTGTATTTATAAAGCACGTTTAACATAACAAAGCCTCAAGGTGCTTAAACTGGAGCATTATCAAACAAAATTTGGCCCTAAGACAGACAAGGAAATACAAGCTTAGTTGGGAAAAAAAACCTTGGGGAAAGAAGTAGATAGGCTTTAAGTAGCACCTTTTTTTAAGAACAAAATAAAGATTTGGGAGGACATTCTGAATCTTAATCCCTTGACAACTGAAGGCAAGAACCTTCAAAGATAATGGTGGATTTGAAAACATAATTGGAAACTTTGGCTGTCATTTAAGCATTGATTCAATTTCAGTTGATCAGCAAGTATAGTAGTGTTGGATAGAGCATAAGTCTAGATTGGGGCACAGGCAGCAGAGTTTTGAATGATTTAAGTTTAAGGAGGGTGGAATGTCGAAGACCAGCTGGGAGTGTTTTGCACTAATTAAGTTTGGGGCTAACAGGCTTGGGTGAGGGTTTCAGCAGCGGATCATTTGAGATAGAAGTTGGGTGATATTATGGAGGTAGAAATTGACAGTGTTTAGTGATGACATGAATATGTCGTCAGATGTCCATCTCAGGAATAATATGATCAGTTTACAAATGGCCTGGTTCCTGCCTTGGACAGTTACCAAAATGAGGGATAGATTTGGCTCGGGAATGGAGTTTGTGGTAGAATCAAAATTGTTCTTATTGCTGTTTGTTTTCCCAAGTGCTGCAGCTGCATTCAGCGGTTTTTACAAAACTGCACAACTGGGGGGAAGGCACTTGAGAATACTGCCTTTTGCTTTTAAGAACCTTGTCCTCCCCATTTGAAAGAATACATACCTGAGTCCCTTGGACTGAAAAGACTGGTGAGTCAAATTGATCAGTGCATTGAGTATAGGAGTTGGGAGGTCATGTTGTGGCTGTACAGGACATTGGTTAGGCCACTATTGGAAATCTGCGTGCAATTCTGGTCTCCCTACTATAGGAAGGGTGTTGTGAAACTTGAAAGAGTTCAGAAAAGATTTGCGAGGACGATACCAGAGTTGGAGAGTTTGAGCTATAGGGAGAGGCTGAATAGGCTGGGTCTATTTTCCCTGGAGTGTCAGAGGCTGAGGGGTGATCTTATAGAGGTTATAAAATCACGAGGAGTATGGGTCGCAGAAATAGACAAGGTCTTTTCCCTGGGGTGGGAGATTCCAAAACTAGAGGGTATAGTTTTAAGGTGAGAGGGGAAAGATTTAAAAGGGACATAAAGGGCAACATTTTCACACAGAGGGTGGTGTATGTATGGAATGAGCTGCCAGTGGAAGTGGTGGATGCTGACAGAATTGCAACATTTAAACGGCATCTGGATGAGTATATGAATAGGAAAAGTTTCGAGGGATATGGGCCAAATGCTAGCAAACGGGACTAGATTTATTTAGGATATCTGGTGGGCATGGACAATTTGGACCAAAGGGTCTGTTTCCGTGCTGTATATCTCTATGACTGTAAATGGCACATTAAATTTTCAGGGGCTTGGCATCTGTTCCACAATGCTGTCCATTGATCAAGTACAGAATGTGACTCAGCCCAGCTTCATTGAACTCCATACGTAGGACTGGAAAACATCAAGGGCAAAGGCTATTACAATTACACCTACAGACCTTCTGGATTTGGGAAACACAAGTAACGTTAATAATTTTGAAAGGACGTAGACCAGCCAAAGCAAACTATGTTCCATTGTATTTGTACAGTGAGAATCTGAGAATTTGGAATCTATAATTTTTATATAGTGCCTTTAATATTATGAATATAATGGGCAGCACGGTGGCACAGTGGTTAGCACTGCTGCGTCACAGTGCCAAGGTCCCCAGCTCAATTCCACCCTTGGGCGACTGTCTGTGTGGAGTTTGCACATTCTCCCCATGTCTGTGTGAGTTTCCTCCAGGTGCTTCGGTTTCCTCCCGCAGTCCAAAGATGTGCAGGCTAGGTGGATTGGTCATGCTAAATTGCCCATAGTGTTCAGGGATTTGTAGATTAGGTGGGTCAGAGGGGGATGGGTTTGGTTGGGTGCTCTGAGGATCAGTGTGGACTTGTTGGGCTGAAGAGCCTGTTTCCACACTGTAGGGATTCTATGATCTATGAAACTTGCCAAGGAGCTTTTAAAAATCAAGTAGTGACACATAAGGAGACACCAGATCTGATGACCAAAGATTGGTCCTGCCAAGTTTCTCCAGCACTTCTTTTATATTTCAGATTTCCAGCATCCACAGTATTTTGCTCTTGACTTTCTCTGTAGAATGTAATACAAAAAAGGTACAAGGGAAGTAAGTGCTCCAATCTTTTCAGTGCTGTTACATTAAGTATCTAACCAATCTTACTGTTTTTATGGTTGTTGCATTAACTTATGCAGTGCTCAGTTTAAGACTCACTTTAAACTTATTACTTTCTACTCTTATGTAGATTGAAGCGCAAACGTAGGAAGATGAGGGCAAGATCCAAATGAGACCTGCAAATAGACCAGCGACACCATGGTGACTGGCAGCTTTGTTAAGCTTCATCTTCGTCATTAAATGGAAGACTGAAGCTTTCATGTTTCAAGAATTTCCTGTTTGTTTTATCAGTTACTGAACTTTGTTATGGAATGCATTTATTGCAATTTTTGTCATTTGAAAATAAAATTGTTTTGAATACACATTTTTAAATTATACATTTTAAAGCCAACCATGATAAGAGTAATTGTCTTACGTCATTTATATTTCCCTATTTAGTGATTTTTACAGTTGTAGCCTCAAAACAAATTGATGGAACTCTTGTTTCTTACAATTTGGAATTTTTGCCGAGCTTGTATTCTTTTTTGGCTTAATTATTGGCACCAAAATTTACATATGAAAGCACATTGCATAACCTATCGATTCCAGTCTACTTAGTGTAGATCATTCTCATGCCCAAGGATGATTAACTATGGTTTCTTGACCTAGAGTCATAAAGTTATACAACTTGGAAACAGACGCTTTGATCCAACTAGTCCACGCTGACCATATTTCCAAACCAAACCAATCCCATTTGCTTGGGTTTGGCCCATATCCCTCCAAACTTTTCCTATTCATGTGCTCATCCAAATGTCTTTTGAATGTTGTAACTGTACTTAAGTTCACCAGTGTCTCTGATAGTTCATTCCACATTTGAACTACTGTCTGTGGAAAAAGTTGCACCGTAAATCTCTCTCTCTATACTCAAAATTATGCCCCCGAGCTTTGAACTCTTCCCCCCCCCCCAACCACTCTAGGGAAAAGACATCTGCACAGACAGATTCTGCGATCATGCCCGTGAATCCTGGATAGTGTGTTGACTTCCTGGTGCCAGGGTTAAGGACCTCTCAAAACTGACAGATACTTGACAGTGCCCCATGGAAAGGAGCCCACCATTCTTTCAATGTCAGGTCTTTAACTGTGTGCTAATTCTTCTGATCTGTTTACCAATTTTCAAATGACTTGGGCAAAAGTCCAAAGATTAATACACTTGATCTCTAACTAGTTAATGCAGCTCCTGTAAGACAGGGAGCATACTGAAAATTAGCCAACTTCTATGTTGGAAGCTTAAGTGACTTTTTTTTTAAAAGGTGCTGCAGGTTCTTTTCAGTACATGAGCTCTTTAGAATTGTTTTTGCTCGAAGTGTTTAATACTTTAACTGGCTCTAGCTGGAGCACCGACTCTGTATTAGTTATGTTGTTTGTTCTGAGATCATCAACTTTGAAATTTGGATTTCTCCCCTCCCTGTTCATTCTCTCCAGCTGTCTTGAGATATAGTTCCTTGGCACTGTTGGGCAGTGCAAATTTCAGATCCCTCCTTTTATGGCTGCAAAGAATGCTATGTTTTCCCTGAAGTATAGATTCCTCCACTACAATTTCTGTTTTTTTTTCCCTTGCTCAGCCTTTAAACAACCTTTTGAACCTCGGTTCCTTGTAGCTGTCATGCCTACTGTCTTTTGGCCTTGCCCCTGCAGATACAGAATATGTGAGTCTGTTGCATAGCATGAGTCTGGTACACACCCTTCTTGACCTCTACCTGTCCCTGATGCCTTACTCCCCGACAGTCACGTCATCCCCATACTGAATATTTTTCTCCGAGTGCTGATTTTTCTCTTGGGCCATCTCTTGTCCTGTTCTCTTCGAAGTGCATGATGCAGTGATAATGCAGTTGTTGACCAATGATAGA